GTTTTCCTCTGCCAAGACCTCTTTGATTAGAAAAAATGTGTGATTCACGGCAGACAAGGCTGCTTTATTATAGAATATAAACAAAGTGGATACTGTACAATTTCTGACTGCACAGAGAATTTATTTGTGCCAGAGGAAAGGTAAAAAAGGACCAATTTCTCAGAGAACTGAACTGATCAGAAAAGCTTTTTAAAGGACGACAACTCCTGTTAGCTGAGTGTCTGGGGGACGTTGGGGTGGTGGTGGCGGAAGGGGAAATGTGAGCATGTTGTGGGTATAGCACATTTGATACTTTACTGCAGAGGTCCCTAGCCTTTTGGGCACCAGGGACCAGTTGCAGGTTTTTCCATGGACTGGAGAGTGCGTGGTTTTGTGTGCTGCCTGCATCCCATGGATGGAGCTTGTTTGTGCGGACCAGTTGCTGGTGTGCCGCGACCCAGAACCGGTCCACAGACTGGGGGTTGGGGACCCCTGCTTTACTGGATCAGGTGGTGATAGAAGCACAACGAAGGTGTTATGAAAACATCGTTGGTGTGATGGCTCAGTTTGTCCGATGGTATAAGGCAGTGGTGGCGAACCTATGGCATGCGTGCCAGAGGCAGCACTCAGAGCCCTCTCTATGGGCACATACGCCATCGCCCCAGCCCCACCTCCTGCTGTGGCCCCCTCACCAGCAGCTCCCCCAGAGGAGAGTGGCCCCTGAGCGTGGCGCGTGTGGAGCAGCGCACCCAAGGACATGGCAGCCAGGCAGTGGGAACAAGACTCCACCCTTGTGCCCCATTGCACGCAATTGATGCTGTGGTGCATGGGTGGATGGCATGGCTGCCCTGGCACTGCTGGCCCGCCTGGGCGATCGGCGGCCATGGAGGCAGTGAGTGGCCCTGTGGGCACGCAGGGGGTGGGGCAGATGGGGGCCAGGGGCGGGGCTGTTTTTTGGGCACTCGGTCTCTAAAAGGTTCGCCGTCACTGGTATAAGGCTCTTGCCTTGAGCAAAGGGTTGGATTAAAAGACCTCTGAGGTCCCTATGATTCTACAACCTCTGCAAAACACAACCAGAATTAGACCATAACTAATTTCCATTTGTGTTTTAAAGTGCTTCCTTTGATCTGGATGATTAGAAAGCTGAAATGAATTATTCCTCGAGTAGTAGGCTTGCAGTGGAGAGGTCATTATGCCCAACAGTCTTTTATTTTCCTAACTACTGTGTTTATAAATATAAATTTGCGGTAGACTGAAGGCAATTGTGCTTTACTGAATTAAAGCCGTCTGAAATTGCCGTTGGGCTTTCTGCATTCGCTGCGTTAAGTGCAATCGAGTTCAAGAGGGGAGGCATTCATTTAAGATCAATTTTCTGCTGATCTGTAGCTTAAAACAGGAAATCTTGGTTTGGCAGCTGGTATTAATTCTGTTCTCCTGTTTGTTATGCCCATTATTGATGCCAAGCCCTACAAAGACAACATAGTCCTAGGCTGCATTGACAGAGGGGAAAAATCAAGTTCACTTGAAGTTTGTGATGCCTTGGTGAGACCACCCTGCACAATACTGCATCCAGTTTTGGTCCACACAGCAGATGTTGATATTCTAGAACAGTGGTTCTCAACCTTTCTAATGCCGCGACCCCATAATACAGTTCCCCATGTTGTGGTGACCCCCAACCACTTATACATCACCGGGTGCTAGGGGCGTGGCCAAAGAAAAGGGGAAAAAAATGGCGGACAGCCTTGTTTGGCGACCCCCGTGAAATGGTCGTTCGACCCCAAATGGGGTCCCGACCCACAGGTTGAGAACCACTGTTCTAGAAAGAGTGCAGAGACACTAGACCAGGGGTAGGCAACCTTGGCTCTTTTATGACTCGTGGACTTCAATTCCCAGAATTCCTGAGCCAGCAGGAAAGAGCCAAGGTTGCCTACCCCTGCACTAGACAATCACCTGAGAAACTAGACAATCACCTATCTGAGATGGTATAAGTGCTTGGGCAGGGGGCTGGACTAGAAGACCTCCAAGGTCGCTTCCAGCTCTATTTTATTTTTGATTACGGGACTGGAGGCTGACACATATGAAGAATGGTTGTAGGGATTGGACATGTCTAGTTTAATGAAGAGAAGGACTAGGGGTGACACGATAGCATTTCAATAGCTGGGGGGGCTTCCACAAAAAGGGTGGGGGATCAAACTATTCTCCAAAGCACCTGAAGGCAGGACAAAAAGCAATGGATTGAAACTAATCAGAGAGAGATTTAACAATGAAGAAATTTCCTGACAGTGAAAATTATTAACCAGTGGAACAGCCTGCCTCAAGAAGGAGGTTTTTTTTAGAAAGAGATTGGACAACTATTTCTCTGAAATGATATAGGATCTCCTGCTTGAGCAGGGGTTTGGACTAAGGTCCCTTCCAACTCTGTTATTCTGTTAAGTAAGAAGTACAGATTACAGTAAGATATTTAATGCTAGTCTTGGGATACATACTCAGTCTTGGAACCTTTTATCCAGCCTTGAGTGAGATAATTAAGATGGGATCTCTTTAACTCACCTGAAATTCTTCTGCCTGGTTTCACTTCACTTGGGCAGTTGCCATTTGTAAAATAAGCAGACAACTGAGTCACTCTCATCATTGTTCTCATCCATTCCTTTCCCACCATCCCTTACTGTTACAGTAACACGATATTAAAAGCAACAGATTTAATTCAATTATTTTGATGACGTTTAAGGATGCGTTGGAATCAAACCTTCCAAGTCTAGACCATGGGCCTCCAATCTTGGCAACCTGAAGACTGAGGAATTCTGGAAGTGGAAATCCACAGGTCTTAAAGTTGCCAAGGTTGGAGACATTCCCCCCCCCCGCTCTAGAGCAGGGGGTCTTCAAACTTGGCCCTTTTATGATTCATGGACTTCAACTCCCAGAATTCCTCAGCCAGCGTGCCTGGCTAAGGAATTCTGGGAGTTGAAGTCCACAAGTCATAAAAGAGCCGAGTCTGAAGACCCCCTGCTCTAGAGGAACATGGCTTACATTTTATGCACATGGAGTTCCTTCAGTATGAAAGAGAATACACTTTTTCAGACTATTATTTATTTAGTGTATGATGAGAACATGACAGAAGTAAACATATACGCACAATTCACATAGTTATGTACAAAACTTCTATGGGGTACGGCAGGGACCTACTAACTGGATGTCCAATTCAGCTATCCACCTCTGGTGTTGCTTCTTGCAGGTCTTCTAGGGAACCAGAGAACGCACATTATTGTGGGCAATCTTGTGCAATATGTTTAATAATTTGCATATGAGCACCACAATCGCAACAAGCGGAATCTTTCCATCCCCATCGATAGGAGGGCAGGGACACTTCTTCCAGTATCACACCTAATTCTGTTCAATTTCCTCCACACAGAGCGAAGTAGGTCAAAACCAGGTGATTTGGGAGAGTGATCACTAATGGCAGGGATCCAGGAAGGACTCCGGGCATTCTTGGGGTTAAACTGGATAAATACAGGTAGTCCCCGAATTACGACCACAATTGAGTCCCAAATTTATGTGGTTAAGTGAGAAATTTGTTAAGTGAGTTTTGCCCCCTTTTACAATTTGTCTTGCCACATTTGTTAAGCGAATCAATGCAGTTAAATTAGTAACCTGGTTTCATTGACTTTGCTTGTTGGGTTGCAAAAGGGCATGACGTAACCCCGGGACACTGCGACCGTCATAAATGTGAGTCAATTGTCAAGCATCCAAATGTAAATCACGTGACCATGGGGATATGGTCCAATGGCCATAAAGGTGAAAACTGGGCACGAATCAATTTTTTCACCGCTGTTGTAACTTCGGACGGTCGCTAAATGAACTGTCGTTAAGTCGAGGACTGCCTTTAACTGTTTTCCATGCTGGCCTCTGGGATTCCAATCTTGTGGCGAGCCGCGCACTGTCCTTCTGAGTAGGAAGGGCCTCACTGTTCCGCATCTTGGACTGTAGCTGAATAAGAGCTTGCTGTTTTCTAATATGGAGTACTGTGATATTGTTAAGTACTGGTAACTAGCGCGTAGGAGTAGGATGCGACGTGGCAGGGACGATACCCCTTGTCTGGCAAAGTTGAAATGTCAACCATTTGGGTGTGGACGCTGTTAAGCTACACACCGGCACAATACTCAGCTGTGGAGTAAACCAAAGCCAAGGCTGTTATTCGTAGGGGGTTAACATCAGCATCCTGGGATGTTCCAGCCAGTCTGCTGGGTAATTTTTGTGGCTTTCCCAATTTTGCAGCTGTTTTTTTCCAGGTGTTGCCGGAAGTTAGTGATTTGGCCAGGGACTTCAGAGAGTTATTACATTGTAAAATACGGTTCCATAACTTCACTGAAGGCTGGGAGTTTGTGTAGCTGTTGCTGAGGTGGAATGTGGCTGCTTCTGTTTTTTGTAAGGCTTGTTGGAGTGGGATGACTGCTTCAAAAAATGGCGCCCCAACCAGGTCACTAGCACAACTCGCCACTGTGGGAAATCCGTTGCGGGACAACTCAATGTCATTATTTAGAATAATTTATGAAATATTTTATTTCTTGTCGTTCCCATTTCATTTTGTCCCTCAGTGGGTTGTGAAAGACCTCCCCTTTTAAGAAGAGATTAGACAACCATTTGTCTGAAATGGTGTACGGTTTCCTGCCTGAGTGGGGGTTGGACTAGAAGGCCTCCAGGGTTCCTCCCAATTCTGTGATTCTGTTATTCCTTTGGCATCCTTTCTTTAACGATTCTATTTCAACATTTCTTTGATATTAGTGTAACTTTCGTCCCGCAGTGAGTTGGCCGTGGTGAGTTGTCTTAGACCAGGGGTAGTCAACCTTGCCTCTTTTATGACTCATGGACTTCAACTCCCAGAATTCCTGAACCAGCCATGCTGACTCAGGAATTGTGGGAGCTGAAGTCCACGAATCATAAAAGAGCCAACGTTGCCCACCCATCCTAGACCCTTTTTGCGGTACCATTTTTTTAAGCAGGGATCCATCTTCTGGAGATCTTGTGAAAGGATCTGCATCCCTGAAGTTGGTTCTTTGGGCTGTGTGATTGACATCATCGACGTAAATAAATTTCCGAGAAACAGCTTCAGGCAAGTCACTGATGTAAACGTTAAAGCATGGAACTTAAAGAGGAGGCAAGCCAACACTTAGTTGGTGGTCCATAGTTCTGCAGTAATTCTGTTCTTCTGTTTCCCCCTGTCCGACTCTAAGGGGCGGTGCTTGTCTCCGTTTCTTACCCGAGGAAGCCAATGTTGTCCGAGGACACGTTTGTGGTCATGGGGCCGGCATGATTATATGCTGAGGTGCACAGAATGCTGTTACCTTCCCAGGGAAGTGGTACCTATTTATCTACTTGCATTTTCATGCTTTCAAACTTCTAGATGGGCAGGAGCTGGAGCAAGGAACGGGAGCTCACCCCATCGTGAGGAGCTGGGGTCTCCAACCCGGGCTATCACTTTTGCAGCTGAAAAGCTCAGCTTCTTTAACCGTTGAGCTATCGCGCCCCTCTAGTTATGCCTAAGCACAAAAGCAAATAAACATTACACATCCTGACATCTGTATGAAAAGACTCTGGAGTACTGGGGACTGAATGGAAAAGTAGAATCTTGGTACAAAAATACTGTCCTGATTTAAAAAAATAAACAGGTCATGAGAACAATGAGCCTTTGATCAGTTGAATAAAAAGGGAGCTTGAGGTCCATCTGCTAAGGAAGCACGAGCTATTAAAGAGGAGACAAGCCACCCGTTGTGTTCTCTGCACAAAATGCCCTTTGCCGTCAGCGTGGCGTAGCCTCTGCGGGTGTGCAGTGCCCAAAGGTAGCACCGTCTTCACGTCTCCGCCAAAAGCAGCCTCTTCCCAGATTGGCTGAAAACCAGCGTCACTCAACCGACGGCACTAACACGTTAAATAGAACAAAAGTTTAAGTCACACTCAGGTTTCACACGCCAACAAATGTGGGTCATCTGGATGGGTCTACCACAAAAGGAGGAAAAGGTCTTCTGGTTTTGGGATGGGGGAGGTGGGGCGGCTGGGCAAGACGGTTCTGCGGTGTTTTCATTCGTCTTGCTTCCTCTTGGGCTTCTTCGGATTACGAGACCGGCTTTTGGCTTTGCAGAGAGGACAGATGGGGGCGTTCCGGTGGATCTGTTGGTGGCAGGAGAGGCACGCCTGGGAAGAAGAACAAAGTTGATCTGTTAGGAGTGGGAAGGAGAGACCGTGGCCCTCTTTGCTTGGATTGGCCTTCCCCAGCAGGGCTGTAGGAACCAGAATTCCTAGAACAGGTATCTCCAAACTTGGCAACTTGAAGACTTGTGGACCAGAATTCTAGGACTTGAAGTTCACAAGCCTTAAAAGTTGCTGAGTTTAGAGACCCCCAGTCAGTGGGATGGCAAAGATGCTCAGCTTGGGAAGACTGACCCAGATTGGGCTCATACAAAGCACCGGGTCATGGTTTGGTTAACCAGAACTTACAGACTAAACCAGGGGTAGGCAACCTTGGCTCTTTTATGACTCGTGGACTTCAACTCCCAGTATTCCTGAGCCAGCCATGCTGAGGGGAAAGGGAGAGGTTTCCAAGCTGAGCCATGTTGGCTGAGGAATTCTGGGAGTTGAAGTCCACGAGTCCTAAAACAGTCAAGGTTGCCTACCCCTGTCTAGGAGGCTCACCGCTTAGAACAGGAGGACTTAGGACAGGGGTAGGCAATCTTGGCTCTTTGATGACTCGTGGACTTCAAATCCCAGTATTCCTGAGCCAGCCATGCTGAGGGGAAAGGGAGAGGTTTCCAAGCTGAGCCATGCTGGCTCAGGAATTCTGGGAGTTGGAGTCCACGAGTCCTAAAAGAGCCAAGGTTGCCTACCCCTGGACTAAACCATTATTGTAGAGACCTTGATGCTCTCTAAGCTTGTTTGGTTGTAGACATTTCATTACCCAAGCAGGTAACATCATCAGCACTGGCGAGGGTGGGGTTTGCTTTTATATACAATAGCTTGCCCTGCCCATATTGGTGCGGGTGTGATTTTCTCCTTGATAGTTCCTTGATTAGGGTAGTACTTAATTAAAGAATTACCTAGTTAGGGAACTAGTTGATTAGGGAACTTTAGCTGTGTAGTCTTTGGTGCTCTGAGTCTGATTGATTGGTGGCAGACATTTTATTACCCAGCTAGGTAACATCATCAGTGCTAGCGTGGCTGAGGTTTCCTCCAGGCATAGGAGCATAACTGTTTGGGTTCAGACAGATATTCTTTATTGATAGTCTCTGAGTAAAGACAGAATCATGGAAATTCCCTAGCCCTGTTTATAGTGCGCTTCAGTGGAATTTCTTTGAACGATCTGGACTATTTCTTCCCACGTTGTTCACCACCTGGGCTGAGTTGCTGTTTCTAAGATAAGCTGGCAACTGGCAATGCCTACAGTCTTTTGATCATATATGGCTCCCTCCCCTCCCTTCCCTTGGACTTCTTCTCCCCACAATCTGTCTATGAAGAATTTTCCTACATCACGGTTCCAGAATTCAGAGATATGTTAGTAAAAATATGAAAAATCCAACGTCACAGAACAGAACAGGAAAAAAAAACACCCCACAAAACGTTCATGATCCAAGCGGGAGAAACTCATTTTTGCTCCACAATTTGGGACCAAGTCTAAGAACCTGAAGTTCAAGGTGAATAAAAGGTTGCTGTGGTTGAAATTGCTGGTTGCATTCTCAGATTTGGGGCCACGTGGGAAACAGGAAACATCCCACGGTGTCTAGTTTTATAACGGAACCAACTATACTAGTGTTCTTCAACCTGGGCTACTCGAAGAAGTGTGGACTTCAACCCCCAGAATTCCCCAGCCAGCCACGCTGGCTAGAGAATTCTGGGAATTGAAGTCCATACATCCTCAAGTGGCCAAGGTTGAAAAACAGCGATCTACAGACAAAAAAAATTTAACTACTGAAATTGTGCCTACTTACCTTCATAGGAGGTGGCTGTTGTCTGAAAGTGGCTGTCTGCCTTGTGTCCTGTTTCCGGGCCACCTGCAGCTGTTGTGCAGCTGCTGCCGCTGCAGCCAAGGATTCTGGGATTGGAGGTTCCTGTGGCTCCGTCTGCCATTCGGCTTTCTGCTTTTCGAAGTAACTAGGCAAACCACAAAGCCAAAAAAAAAACAACTATCAGGGCTGAAAGATTCAGAAACTGACCAGTTCTTTCATTTCCCTTTTATTTCTGTAGAGCAAATGACATATGCTGTCTCCAGGATATTCTAGTTTTCTCCCTGGAGCATCCTGGTTTGTGAAATATAGAGCAATGATTGGGGGGGGGGGGTTGGGAGAGTGGGTGGGATATAGTTACAGAAGTGGATCACCCAGAACAGCTAGATCCGTTTTTTGGTCTCAACAAAGGAGAATATTCGTAGGTCAGGGTTGAAATGAGGGGTCCTTGGTGCTCTCTGAGCCTGGTTGTTTTCTTGCAGATATTTCATTATCCAACTGTTGACGAGGAGGAGGAGGAGGAAGAGGAAGAGGAGGAGGAGGAGGAGGAGGAGGAGGAGGAGGAAACTGGGGTTCTTGGTGCTGTCTGAGCTTGATAGTTTTCTTGCAGACGTTTCATTACAAAATTCCCTTCAGTGCAAGAAGGGAATAAGGTTTGGGGAGGGAGGAGGAGGAGGAGGAGGAAGAGGAGGAGGAGGAGGAGGAGGAAGAGGAAGAGGAAGAGGAGGAGGAGGAGGAGGAAACTGGGGTTCTTGGTGCTGTCTGAGCTTGATAGTTTTCTTGCAGATGTCTCATCACCAAACTAGGTAATATCATCAGTGTGCCAGACAATCCATCATTGATTTTACCTACTTTGATAATGAAACTTCTGCAAGAAAACCACCCAGCTCAGACAGCACCAAAGACCCCTTATTTCCACCCCGAGCTACAAATATTCTCCTTTATCAGTACTCCCAATATACGCTTTCATGCATCCACGGACCTCTTCCCTTTCCCCTCCTTTCTTCAACCAGACCCAGAAGTGGTGGGCTTTGCAGCTTCTCAACTTACTCAAGAGAAAGTTTTTCTTCCTCTTCACACAAATCGGGCAACCTCTGCAAGCCCAGGGTCATCCTGAGAGCATCCACATGTTCCTTGAGAGGCTTGTATTCCTCATGGAGGCGGCGTGTCGACTCCAGGAGCTTGTTCAGGTCATTCTCGGACTGTTTGATTGTGTTCTCCATCTGGAAGAGAAGCAGGAGACCCAGATCCAGATCTCTCCTCCTCACATCTTAATGCAGCGGTTCTCAACCTGTGGGTCGCGACCCCATTTGGGGTCGAACGACCATTTCACGGGGGTCGCCAAACAACGCGATCCGCCATTTTTTTCCCTCAGCTGGCGGCACCGCACATGTGCGGCGCGCATGTGCGGCATGTATGGGGCGGCGCATGGGGGGCGGCACACGCATGCGCACTGTGCATGGGGCAGCACACGCATCCACCCCGTGCATGGGGCGGCCCCCACGCATGCGCGCCGCGTATGGGGCACCGCCGTGCATGTGTGCTGCGTATGGGGGCGGTGCCGCGCATGCGCGCCGCGCCGCGCATTGCCAGTATAAAAAGGTTGAGAACCACTGTCTTAATGGCTGGTCCCAATTCTCCCAGCTGAGGTCACTGAAGGCTGAATAAATAGCCAGGTGGTGATTGTGGTGGCCTCCCTCTAAGGCAGGGGTTCTCAACCTTTCTAATGCCGCGACCCCATAATACAGTTCCCCATGTTGTGGTGACCCCCAACCACTTATACATCACCGGGTGCCAGGGGCGTGGCCAAAGAAAAGGGGGAAAAATGGCGGACAGCCTTGTTTGGCGACCCCCGTGAAATGGTCGTTCAACCCCAAATGGGGTCCCGACCCACAGGTGGAGAACCACTGGGTTAAGGCTAGACTTTCTCTTCTCAGGTAAAATATTCCAGAGACAGCAGAAAAACAAGGAAGAGGATGTATCTTATTGGGCACAGAACACAGGAAAAGAAGGATGTGGCTGAAAAACACACAGCTTGGTGTGTGTTAGACCTGCAGCCTCCAGAGTTTTCAGCCAGCCTCAGTAGATTGGCAGGAAACTCTGGAAAACACAGCCGGGTCACCTGGAGAATAAAGGTAATCCTCAACTTGCAACAGTTCATTTAGTGACCATTCAAAGTTACAATGGCACTGAAAAAATTGACTTAGGACTGTGTTTCACAGATACAACTGTTGCAGCATCCCCACAGTTACGTGATCAAAGAGCTGTGGTGGTACAGTGGTTAGAATACAGTATTGCAAGCTAACTCTGCCCACAGCCAGGAGTTCGATTCTCACTGGCTCAAGGTTGACTCAGCCTTCCCTCCTTCCAAGGTGGGTAAAACAGGGACCCAGATTGTTGGGGGCCATAGGCTGACTCTGTAAACCGCTTAGAGAGGGCTGTAAAGCACCGTGAAGCGGTATATAAGTCTTAAGTGCTATTACTATTGCCACTGGTCAAAATTCAGACGCTTGGCAACTGGTTCATATTTATGACGGCTGCAGTGTCCTGAGGTCATACGATCCCCTTTTGTGACCAAAGCTAATGGGGAAGCCAGATGCACTTAAACCATATTATTAAATTTATTAACTGCAGTGATTTGCCTAAGAATTGAGGCAAGAAAGGTCATAAAATGGGGCAAAATTCACTTAACATCTGTCATTGCTTAACACCAGAAATTTGGGGCTAAATTGTGGTCGTAAATCAAGGACCACCTGTATAAAAATTAATAGCAACCATTTTGGAAGACAAGACTTTAGGTCAGGGGTAGGCCACCTTGGCTCTTTTATGACTCGTGGACTTCAACTCCCAGAATTCCTGAGCCAGCATGGCTCAGCTTGGAAACCTCTCCCTTTCCCCTCAGCATGGCTGGCTCGGGAATTCTGGGAGTTGAAGTCCACGCGTCATCAAAGAGCCAAGGTGGCCTACCCCTCTTTTAGATCCTCAAGTCTTTCTCCCTTTGCCCATTGATTAAGATAATGGAGATTCCTCCTGACTGCATCAGCAGCCAGAAAGTTGCAACGGGAATCTCTCTCCGTCCCCTCCACTCACAACATTAATGTCGGCATGGATGAGTCTCAGTTCTTCCACGTGGGCCATCTTTTCCTGCAGCAAGAGATCCATCTCCTGTTTGTATTCCTTCAGGTGCCTCTCCTCGGATTCCAGAGCCTCAAATTCTGCCTTCAAGCGAGCTTTGATCTTTTCCATCTGCAGTGTTTTATTTCTGGGGAAGGGGGAGGTGGGGAGAAATGGAGAAGACAGAGAAGCTGGGTCACCAGGAGGCATTTGAGCCTTCCTCACTGCAGACAGGAGAGTCTGGCAATGAGAGAGAAAGGGAAGATTAGCTCCCAAACCAAGGGGTCTGCAGGGTGCGGTTGTGACGTCAAGATGGGCGTTGCGACGATGGACGAAAGCTCTACTTATTTGCAGCCTACCCCATTGACTGTCTGTGGAGATTCTCAGTCATCCAGGTTGTCCCAAAGGTGCTTTTTCAAGAGGCCGTTGGACTTTCTTGTTTTTCTTTGAAGATGTTTCGCTTCTCATCCGAGAAGCTTCTTCAGCTCTGGCTGGATGGTGGGGAATGGAAGAGAATAAAAGAAAGCAAACGACCAGCTGTCTGCAACGAGTATAAATCCTTCCATTCCTCACCATTCAGTCGGAGCTGAAGAAGCTTCTCGGATGAGAAGCGAAACATCTTCAAAGAAAAACAAGGAGGTCCAGTTGCCTCGTGAAAAAAACACTTTTGGAACAACCATGTTGACTGTTTTGGCCACATCCTGTTCAACTCATGATTGCTGGCATTTTGCAGCTTAGATTTTGTGCAAAAGCAGCACAAATGAGGTTTGTCCACTAAGCTATGGTTAAACCATCCATGGTTTAGAGCAGACATGTCAAACTTGCAACGTGACATGATGTATCGGGACAGTTTTGCCATTGCCGGCAATGGGGTGGGCGCTGCTTCAGCGTGACGCATCCGGCCCGTGGGCTGGCAGTTTGACACCCCTGGTTTAGAGCAAGGTGTGACCCCCACTACACAGATCATACTAAGTTATTCATTTAATTTGCTTGGCTTTTGGCTTACAAGGTGGTGTGAACTCTACCGCTGTTGGGAAAAAAACACGGTTTATAATTTGGCGGAATATGCGGATTCTGCCACACGGCATGTCTTGACTTAATATGATGTGTGGATTCAGAACTAAAGCCAAAGGGTGCCTCAGAGCTTAGTCTGGAAGTCGACATTCTGAAGTAGAATCCCATCATCCCAAAATCCCTGCCTGGATTTCCTCTTAAATCTTTTTGAATCCCAACAAGTTCAATTTAAAAGAACTTTTCGGTTGCATCACAGAGCGTCAGACAGCTTCCTGATCTACTACAGGCAGTTCTCGACTTACGACCACAGTTGAGCCCCAAATTTACGTTGCTAAGTGAGACAGTTGTTAAGTGAATTTTGCCCCATTTTACGACCTTTCCTGCCACAGTTGTTAAGTGAATCACTGCAGCTGTGAAGTTAGTCACACAGCTGTTAAGTGAATCTGGCTTCCCCCATTGACTTTGCTTGTCAGAAGGTCGCCAAAGGGGATCACGTGATCCCAGGACACTGCGACTGTCATAAATGTGAGTCAGTTGCCAAGTGCCTGAATTCTGATCACATGATCATGGGGATGCTGTGATGGTCGCTAAGTGTGAAAAATGGTCATAAGTCACTTTTTCCGGCATCATCGTAACTTTGAATGATCACTAAACAAACTGTTGTAAGTTGAGGACTATCTCATCAAACGTTCCAAGTTACAACGGCACTGAAAAAAAGAGACTTATGACCGTTTTTCACACTTACGACTGTTGCAGCATCTCCATGGTTACGGGATCAAAATTTGAAGGCTTAGCAACTGACTCATATTTATGATGGTTGCAGTGTCCTGGGGGGGGGCTCATGTGATCCCTTTTTGCAGCCTTCTGACCAGCAAAGCGAACGGAGAAGCCGGATTTGCTTAATAACTAATTTGACAACTGCAGTGATTCAATTAAGCACTATGGCAAGAAAGGTCGTAAAATGAGGCAAAACTCACTTAACAAATGTCTCACTTAGCAAGACAGCTTTGGGGCTCCATTGTAGTCATAAGCCGAGGACTACCTTTGCAACTTCCTTAATCAAGCTTCAAATGACCTGAAGTGTCCTTCCACAATTCCACTGTGTTCTTCCACAATTTTGGACAGATCTGTTCCCTGACTGTTCTCGCCAGCAGCTTTTTGCCGGGACTGTTAAGCTCTGCACCTTCCCTGCTACACACACACACACACACACACACACACACACACACACCCCTATGGAGATTCTCAAGTCATCCAGGTCATGGTTATCCCAAAGTTGCTTTCTTTCCAAAGGCAACTGGACTTTCTTGTTTTGCTTGAAGACCTTTCGCTTCTCATCCAAGAAGCTTCTTCTGTTCTGACCGAATGGTGGAGAATGGAAGGATTGATATTCTTTGCAGTCATCTGATTGTTAGCACTCTTTCTGAGAGTCGTTGAGGCCGGAGGTTTATCCATGTCCTTTGCACCGCTCAGGTGACCCTGAGGACACAGGTAAACCTCCAAGTGGCCTCAAGGACTCTCTTTGTTATTGTTGTTAGTTGTGAAGTCGTGTCTGACCCATTGTGACCCCATGGACCATGTTCCTCCAGGCCTTCCTGTCCTCTACCATCTTCTGGAGTCCATTGAAGCTCACGCCTCCTGCTTCAGTGATTCCATCCAGCCACCTCCTTCTCCGTCGTCTCATTCTTCTCTTGCCCTCCATCTTTCCCAGCATTAGGCCCTTCTCCAGTGAGTCCTTCCTTCTCATTAGGTGGCCAAAGTACTTGAGTTTCCACTTTAGGATCTGGCCTTCTAAAGAGCAGTCGGGGTTGATCTCCTCCAGGACTGACCGGTTTGATCAACTTGCAGTCCAGGGGACTTGCAGGAGTCTTCTCCACCACCATAGTTCAAAGGCGTCAATTCTATGGCGCTCAGCCTTTCTTATGGTCCAATTTTCCCAGCCATATGTTGCATCTGGGAAAACCAGGGCCTTGACTATACGCGCTAGAAGCGTGCAAATGGCCAGCTTTGTCTGCAAGGAACATCCATCCTTCCACTCCCCACCCTCTAGTCAGAGTTGAAGAAGCTTCAATTAAACAGTGGAACAACCTGCCTCCAGAAGCGGTGAATGCTCCAACACTGAAAGTTTTTAAGAAGAGACTGGACAGCCATCTGTCCGAAATGGTGTAGGGCAAGGGTAGTCAACCTTGGCTCTTTTATGACTCGTGGACTTCAATTCCCAGAATTCCTGAGCCAGCTGAGCCGGCTGCCCGCGCGGGGCTCCTGGGCGCGGACGGCAGCCGCGGAGAGCAAAACCTCTCGGGACTTGCAGTTCCAGCCGCTGTAGCCGGCCAGGGTCCCGCGGGCAGTCGGGACTATGTGTCCCGCCATGCAAAGCGCACATGGCTCCTGCCAGCTGTCTTCCGGCAACTATTCCTTTCTTTTTTTGGCATCCGAATCAGAATCAGAATAGGGACCCTGGAGGTCTTCTAGTCCAGCCCTTTGCTCAAGCAGGAGACACCCCCCCGTACCATTTCAGACAAGAGGTTGTGCAGTCTCTTCTTAAAAAGCTCCAGTGGTGAAGATAAGATAAGATATAAGATATGATAAGATAACCTTTATTGTCATTTTTTTTTTACTGTGGGCACAACGGCACACATCAAAAATGAAATTTAGTTGCCTGCTCTCAAAGTGAAACATATACATGACACACCTAAACATACTATATACAACGTACGTATAGACCCATATATAGACCCACCTACAACGTCTTGTGGCAAGCTGTTCCACTGATTAATTGTCCTCCCTGTTAGGAAGTTTCTCCTTAATTCCAGATTGCTTCTCTCCTTGATTAGTTTCCATCCATTGTTTCTTGTCCTGCCTTCCAATGATTTGGAAAATAGTTTGACCCCCTCTTCTTTGTGGCAGCCTCTCAAATACTGGAATCCTGCTATCATGTCCGCCCAAGTCCTTTTTTTTCTCTAGAACGGCCAAACCCAAATCCTGCGACCGTTCTTCATATGTTTTAGTCTCCAGGCCTTTAATCATCTTAGTTGCTCTTTTTTGCATTTTTTTCCAAAGTCTAAACGTCTTTTTTGTAATATGGTGACCAAAATTGGATGCAGTATTCCAGGGGTGGTCTGTCCTGTTTCATTTTGCATTTGTGCAGGTGAGGGTGGCAGGTTGGTGCAGGACAGGAAGAGGCTTCCCCCCCAAGCATTATTAGAGGCGAAGGAGAGAGGGGAAAAATAGCATAGATAGATAGATAGATAGATAGATAGATAGATAGATAGATAGATAGATAGATAGATAGATAGATAGATAGATAGATAGATAATCTTTATTGTCATTTTTTACTGTGGGCACAATGGCACACATTAAAAATGAAATTGAGTTGCTTGGTCTCAAAGTGTACACATACATAACACACATTTAAATATACTATATACAACATATGTATAGACCTAGATGATAGATAGATAGATAGATAGATAGATAGATAGATAGATAGATAGATAGATAGATAGATAGGTAGATAGATAAACGTTATTGTCATTTTTTACTGTGGGCACAATGGCACATTAAAAATGAAATTTAGTTGCTTGGTCTCAAAGTGTACACATACATAACACACATTTAAATATACTATATACAACATATGTATAGACCTAGATGATAGATAGATAGATAGATAGATAGATAGATAGATAGATAGATAGATAGATAGATAGGTAGATACATACATACATACATACAGCAGTAGATAGATAGATATCGAGATAGATAGATATAGAGGTAGATGATAGGTAGATAGATAGATAGATATCAGATAGATATAGAGATAGATAGATAGATAGATAGATAGATAGATAGATAGATAGATAGGTAGATAGATAACCTTTATTGTCATTTTTTACTGTGGGCACAATGGCACACATTAAAAATGAAATTTAGTTGCTTGGTCTCAAAGTGTACACATACATAACACACATTTAAATATACTATATACAACATATGTATAGACATAGATGATAGATAGATAGATAGATAGATAGATAGATAGATAGATAGATAGATAGATAGATAGATACATATATATATAGTAGGTAGGTAGATAGATAACCTTTATTGTCATTTTTTACTGTGGGCACAATGGCACACATTAAAAATGAAATTTAGTTGCTTGGTCTCAAAGTGTACACATACATAACACACATTTAAATATACTATATACAACATATGTATAGACCTAGATGATAGATAGATAGATAGATAGATAGATAGATAGATAGATAGATAGATAGATAGATAGATAGATACATACATACATACA